TACTAGTTTTGCCCCGTTTCATGAAATACTAAGTGGCATTCAACCAGGTTAGAATCTAAGTATATCATTATAGGACCATGCGAAAATGTCCCTATAGTCCTTTAGGAAAATGACCATCTTTTCCTCTTCCTTGGGTGATAAAGAGGACCCAATCTTAGTTACTCTTGGATTTCTTCGACCGTAGCCACTAGATTCCCGTCGAATCTCTTCTTGAACAATTCAACGTGGGACATAAGTTCCCACATTGAGAGAGATCTTCAGCTTCTTGTTCCCCATGTCCCTCGTTCGAGTTGCCCAATTTGTTGTTCTTTGTGTTTTACACTGTTAATGGGCTATCTTGATAAGTTTTGATTTTTTATGGATTTTTATCTTGTTTTTGGTCCTCATTACGCTATGAATATTCCTTGGGTTTTTTGATGTTACCCCTATGGGACTTGAATGCAAATTATTGAGGGTTAAATGCACAAGGTGTTCAAATAAATACCATGCGTTGATCCGTTTTTTTTTTTTTTGCTATAGGACTCAGAAGTGTCACTGGCATCCTTCCAGTGATTCCAGTGGTAAGGGGACAATAGACCAATTTCATTCGGCTCTTTAGAGCCGATGGTGAATATAGCTAAGTTGGATTTGAACTAATCATATACATTTGTAATATTTGGTGGAAAAATGGTCCTTGATCTCTTGGCATTCTTTGTGTAAGCATCAGACCGTGGAAGAAGAAGTCTACATTGATGGAGAGTACAAGATCACTTTTGGCTGAAAAAAAGGGATGATGTCAAGGAGATCGAGGCTTTGAATGCCTCCAAATACGAAGCTGGGGTGGCATGAAAGCCCCTTTCAGCTTTGGAGAAGAGTGAGGGATTCAGAAGATCCAATTATGTTGTTTAGAACACTCGAGGAGCTCACTAAAAATACAATTTTTTTTATCCTTTGGGAAACTGGGTCGATGGCATATGAGCATAACATGGGTCAATTGTCATGGTCGAAGCTAGCATTTGGATTTCCCTAGCCTTGGTACCTTTGGCCCCCTTTCCCTTCCTATCCTAGGAATTAGAATAGGAGATAGAAGAGAACATACTTTGGCAATTCCTGCTTAGGTAGGGATTTTGAGACATTGATGAAAGGTAGAAGCTATAATGAGGTTCTCATGTAGCAATGGTCTTCCAAACAACAATAAAAATGAAAGACTCCACGCTATGGGACCATTTCCTCCATTCACTCCCCAATGTTGGAGTATTTTAGAACAACTAGTAACTAATATTACAGATGTAACATGTTTAGACTAGCCACGAACCTCGATATAATGCTTTAAGATTTAAGTTTTTAAGAATGCAAATTTATTTATTTTAGAAAAAATTATATCAGTGGATTAAGTATATCCTAGAATTATGGATTAAAAAACTCTGCATTTGTGGCTCTTTTACTTGAGAGAGTAAGTGCACATTGGGGTTAGGTAGGATAAACAAATTAGAGTTAAGCCCCTGCTAAAAAAATTGCCTACCGACCCAAAAGTGGTGGGGTCTAGTCCAACTCCCCTTTAAACTTGGAACTTGGACTAGGTCATCCTAGAATTCATGTTTTTATAAGTAAAATATAATAAAAATATAATGGGAAAATTTCTCCATACCCCTTATTTTTAGGTTTCATTTCTTGATAAACCCAAGGTTTCAAAAGATATCTTCTAACCCCATGGCCACTTTAAAGTTAGTTTTTAACCTAAACAAATGTGAGAAAGGCATGCTCTTTCTAAACCCAATCCTTTCTCTCTGTTCACTTATATACCCCAAACTTCTATCTTTTTCTCTCTTCTTCGGTCTCTCACTCTCTCTCTCCTCTCGCATTTCTCCAAACACCTCTCAATCCTCCCGATAAACTTACTCTTCCATGAAGCCCGTCTCTCTCTCTAGAAGTTTGGGAGGATGAATTTTAGAAAAAAGCATGTCTTTTTAGATTTGTTTGGCTTAAAAAAACATGTTTAAATTAGATATTAGGACGATTAGTTTCTTGTCTAGTCTTTATAAAATTATTGCAAAAGTTTTAGCAGAGAGACTTAAATTGGTTCTCCCTTTTATGATATCTGATGAACAATCAGCCTTCATTCGAGATCGCATGATCACATATAACATTCTTATTACCCAGGAATGCATTCACTTTAGAAATCGCCATGAGCAACCGGGAGTAGTTATTAAATTGGATATGGAGAATGCCTTTGACAGAGTTGAATGGCAAGTGCTCAGTGAGATTATGAGAAGAATGTGTTTTGGTGTCATATGGATTTCTTGGATTATGTGGTGCATTCTTCGGCTCATTTCTCAGTTCTTATTAGTGGATCTCCTAATGGGTTCTTCCAAGCTTCTAAGGGCATTAGACAAGGAGACCCTCTATTTATTTATTTTTTTACCTTAGTAGCAGAAGGTTTTAGCCTGATGTTTAATAATATTGTAAATGCATGTCTTCTTACAGGTTTTAAAGTTTCCTCATCTAGGCCTACTATTTCGTATTTGCAATATGCAGATGATACCCTGATTTTCTGTGATACCAGTGAAGAGCAAATACATAATCTGAGCATATTCCTCCTATGTTGTCAGCTAGCTTTGAGCCTCAATGTAAATTTCCATAAGACTTCAATTGTGGGCATCTTTTGCTCTAATAGCCTTTTGGATTCTCTTGCTTTAATTTTGGGTTGCAAAGTTGAGAAGTATCCCCTTAAATATTTAAGGGTTTGTATCTCTTATCGCAAGCTTACTCATGCAGCTTGGGACCCTCTTATTCGACTTATGGAATACCAAAACTTTATCTTTTGGTGGGCGTATCACTTTGGTTAAATCCACCTATGCACACCTTCCTATTTACTTTATGTCAGTCCTACAAATATCTAGTGAAGTAATCAAGCTTATTGAAAAATAAATGTGAAAGTTCATTTGGGGTAATATAGAGGATAACCACAACAAGTTTCATTCGGTGAACTGGGATCAGGTTTGTATGTAATCAAAGCTAGGTATCAGAAAGCTTAAATTTGTTAACTGGGCGCTTCTATCCAAATGGTGGTGGAGAATCTTTCAAGACTTTTTTCATCTCTAGAAGGATGTGCTAATTGCTAAATATGATTTCGATCATCTTACCCACTCGATTAAAAAAGGTAGAGGACGCAAATTCACTTCACAGATTGGGAATGATACTTATAGCTGCAGAAATATTGTTTTCTGCAACATCCAATGGCATATTGACAATGGAGATAACACTCTCTTTTGGTTCAACAAATGGCTTGGTGATGCACTTGTCTCTTCTACTTATCCTGACCTCTTTGCCAGAATTACTCAACATGATGCAAAACTTTCAGAGTTGATTTCTCTTTTCCCCTCTAATTGTATGGTCTAGAACATCAGACGTCGCTACAATAGGCTATCAGACATGGTTATTTCACAGCTTCATAATCTCCTCCAACAACTTGAACATATTTATATCTCTTCTAATGTCGAAGACTTGGTCATATTGGAATCAGAAACTGATGGATTTTTTTTCTGTCAAATAAGTGTATAGGCTCCTTTTTTATGGTAGGGTCCGTAGTGTTGATACCTCTTTGGGTTCCATTTGGAAATGACCAATTCCAATTAAAATCCAAGCCTTCCTATGGGTTGCATGTCAAAGGAGATGTTTAACAATCGACAATCTGCAAAAGAGAGGTAAAATTCTTCCAAACATTTGCTTGATGTGAAAAAATGATGAAGAATCTTGCTATCATCTTTTCCTTCAGTGTCTTTTTGCCTCTAGCTTATTGCTCAGGGCCTTCTCTATATTGGGTTTTTTCCTCATGAAACCTTTGAATCTCATCAACATTATTAACCATCTTTCTGCCATTGGATTACCAAAAAAAGGAGTTGTGATTTGGAAATTTAAGAAGTGCAATATTATGGTAGATTTGGTTAGAACGTAACAAGAGAACGTTTGATGGGGTGTCTCAGAGTATTGAAAGGGTAAAAAATCTCATTTTACAATCTCTTTGGAATTGGTTTTCTTCCACGTTTGAAGGATGGGGTGCTCTTCGGGCTGATATTTATATAAATCTGAAATTTTTGGCTCATTCATCTTCTCGCTCTAGCCGTCGCCTTAGAACTTCGATTGCACCTCTAGAAGCTTGCCTCAAACTTAAATTTGATGGCAGTGCATTTGGAAATCTAGGCCTGCAGGTGTTGGTAGGCATCTTCACAATAATTTTGGATCGGTTCTTTTTTCTTATTCCGGTCCTTGTGGGTTTACAACAACCAATCATGTTGAATTGGCTGCTCTCCTTCAAGCCCTTCATACCATCATCGACAGAGGTTTCATTGGTGATATTATAATTGAAGGGGATTTCCTGAATGTTATCAAGTGGTGTATAAAAGAGCAAAAGATCCCCTAGTCCCTATTTACTATTTGGTTAAAAATTCAAGACCTATATGCCTGGTCTAATTTGATGATAAGCTTTGGCCACACCATGCTCGAAGCCAATGATGTTGCTGATGGGCTTGCTAAACATGGTGTTTCTCTTTCCTTTTTGCAAGTTTCTAACTATTTGATCCAATCTTTGCAATCTTATGCTCTTGAAACATTGTTTTAATAAAAGTTCATGACATTTATATATAAAAAAAAAAATTAGCTCAAGGGATTAGAAGCAATAAAATCTACAATTTTTATGCCTCAAGATATCTTTTAAAACCTTGGGTTTATTGTGAAATGAAACTTAAGAATAAAAAGTAAGGATATATTTTTCCAAATATAATTTTTAGATTGATGTAAGCATTTTAAGTCTTATTTAAAATTTTTAAATAGTAAAAATTAGAAGTTTTTATTTCGTAGATGAATAGAGAAGTCCCCCACCCCACGGTAAAAATAGAAATCAAGTCCGTCTTTGGAAAAAGGAAATTTTCGCATTATGTCGAGTGGACGATATGGCTCGGCACAAGATGGACGGTCGGTCCGACCCAGTCTTACGTTTAAAACATCGGGAAATATTTCCATCCTTCGAGCAAATTTACATTTAAAACATCGGGTTATGCTTCGGGAAATATTTCCACCCTTTGCAAATTTCCGGGGAAGCGCGCTATTTTGCCTTTTCATGGCGACCCACAGTTACGATACAGTGAGAGAGCGGTTTGGACATCCATGGCCTGAACTCAACGACGGGATAGTCTACTCTGATACTATCAAGTCCAACAACCCTGCTGGTTTGGTTTACGAATCTCTCTCTCCACAAACAATTTGGTTAGGTTTCTACAATCCTAATCTCCATTTTCTCTCTTTCGCTCTCTAACTGTAGCTCTGACTCTCATCGGCTTCTACTCTTCAAAGTACATTGATTCAGCTCCATTGGAAGGGTAGGTACTCTAAGTTCTTGATCATCCTGCCTGGGTTTTTGTCTTTTTTCTTTTTTCTTTTTCACTGTACTTTGTTAATGAACTTGAGTATTGGTTACTCACCATGAATGTCAATTCGTGAGGAAATGCTTAATAACAACAATTGGTTTTCTTCTTAGAGATTTTCTCCTCATCCTGTTGCAGATGGCTCCAGCGGATACGCAACGAACAGGTTGGTTTTTGAAAGGAATTGAGGATTCATCCCTAGAACTGTATTGCAGATTGTGCGGCCCTTTGTATTCTTAGTCCCTGTATCTCTCTCTCTCTCTCTCTTTCCTCTCCTCCTCCTCCTCCTCCTCCTCCTCCTCCTCCTCCTTCTTCTTCTTCTTTTGTTGCCATGCAGATTAAGATTGATAACAAAGTTGTGACGAACCCAGACACACTTCTCAGGTTTGCGTCATAACTTCCCTCGCTGTTTGCCATACATGTAGACCTCTCTGTACATTTCTATCTGGGGATATCCACATCGAAATATTAATATGCAGAGGGGTATTGTCTTTCCTTTTACCTATTTCCTTGTCTGCTTGTTACTTAACAGCATGTTAATAATCTCACATTGTTTATGGCTTGCCATACCGTTCCATGAAATGATTGACAAATGATTTTTTATATTTTTTGTGGAAGGATTGACAAATGATCCTACATCAGCCCTATTGCTATTCATGACCATCATCTTCAATTTTTTTGTGGAAGGATTGATGAATGATCCTACATCAGTCCTATTGATATTCATGACCATCATCTTCAATCATGGTAACCTTGGGGACATGTTTTGGGAATTCTATAGATTGTTGCTGAGATATATGCCAAACATGATCATAAACTTGAATGTTGATCTTCATGATAGGAGGTTTTCTTGGTGCATCTTTACTTAGTTCCAGCTGACTCGAAAATAGAGCTTGTTGAACTTTTTTGTGATATCTTATCCTTTTCGTTTCAAATATTCCTCAAATTTACCTACTTCTCTTCCTAGGATGTGCATCCTATTGCATGGTCATTGGGCTGCTCAAGTTCGCACTCAAATTCTCCCCGATGCTTCGCTTTTGAGCTCCTTTACTTGTTTTCCCTTCATTGTGCCGTAAAACAGTAGCTTGTCAAGCTTTTACTTTCTCTCTATGGAACCTATCATCTTTGTTGTTTGAGTAGTCAGGGCTTGAGGGGCCTCAGAAGCTGATGACCTGACTTTCTGCTAGCTACCCTAGCTAGAAGCATTGGTGCCGGCATTCATAGTGGAAGAAGAGGGAAGTTAAAGGGTACTGTGGCGTATGATGTTGGGTAGAAATGTTGGTTAAGGTAATTCAATTAGCGGTAGAATGCTGGGGCTTTTGAAGATCAGAGGGCTATTGGGCTTGGCTATGATGGGATGTTGAGTTTTATCTTCAAAATATTTCCGACTTCACTTAGGAGACTAATTTAACTTGGCTATGGAACTGAAATGTGTTGGTATTTTGGCTGTTTTAAGGGAAGATTTGGTGATTGCTTTTTTCATGGGAAACTCTCACATCATTGCCTTTCTGCTTGAATTGTATGACGTGGTTGTTGTGGGCCACGATCAACAGGAAATCAGTCACACTCAAGTTGTATGACATTATGTAAATGTATAACGGCATGCATTTTAATACAAGTATGCTTGTCAGCTATTTTTGAAAAGTTTCATTTGATGAATCAGTTGGTTGATGACTCGAGCCTATGACCAATGTTCAAAAAGGCGGATTCGGCCACCTAGGCAGCTAGGACCTAATGCCTTGCCCGACTGGTAGGGTGCCTCTTGACCAAGGCGCCTATATATAATATATATTCAAAGGGGATGTTTTGAAAAGTGTGTAACTTAGTATTATTTTATATAATATTATATTGTGTATATAATATAGCAGAAATAATAGTATATACGATAGTGTTATATGATGGCATAATAAGGGCGAGGACTTTAAACTTTCCCCTAACCTGTCCTAGGCCCGGGTAAAGGAGGTGGGTTGCCTTAGGTAAGCAGCCAATCCTGAACTTATGAGAGAAGAATGGAGGAACAAGATTCATGTAGCCACCCCAAATCATTGGGGTACGGCTTGGATGATGATGAATATAATGTTCTATGACATATATAATAAGGTGAGGTCTTTATAAGGTGCCCACCTTATACTATACAAGTAAGGCTTCAATAGCTTTGCCTTGGTTATACCAAAACTAAGATCTCAAAACTCACTCTGAATGGAAAACGTTAATAGAATCTCTATTTATAATAAAAGACCTTATTTAGAACTTAATAAATTCTAATTCTAATTGAAATGGAAGTTCTAACTGAAATAAAATTAGTAATGACACTTTTACCCTTAAATAAAACAAATACTTCCATAAGCGTTCTAACTATTTTTCCGAACAACCCCTAAAATCCTAAAAACAAAAAGCCCTTAAAGCCTTGAAAAACTTTAAAAAACTTAAAGCCAAACACTTAAAATCCCCAATGCACATCCTACTATTTAATAATAAAAATTTTAAAATTTGAAGCATCTTGTTCTACATTAGACTCCCTTGGTGGGAGAAAACTCCCCGTTGAGTTTTGAAGTAGGCTAAGATGTTTTCTAGTATTATAACGACCTTCTTATTGTACCTTCTTCTTCTTTGTTGGCTCAAAGATTATTTGCAGTTAGAGAAGATAACCTCAAGAAAAGGATCTTGATATGCGTGCTGAGAAATTGATTCAAATGTTTCAAATTTGGCTGTCCTTAATTTTCACTAAAAATCACATTGGAAACTTAAAACTCAATATTTGGCCCTTTAGATTCTTTTTCTGATGAAATTGGTTAGGGAAACCAACATACTTGGTTTAAATGTTGTAGATCTCTAAATAAGATTTTTGACAAGTACCTGCGAACGAGTACCAATGTTTGCATTTCGAAGTGGGTGTGGTGATCCACATGTTGCACTAATTCTTTGTATCTTCTTATCAAGTTTCCATTATCTTCTTGTGTTGGTATAGCTCCACCACCTTGGGCATGATCGCCATGCCTTCCTATTGTTGCCATTGTGCACAATTGTACTGGATCTTTGGGGGCTTTGAGAGACACAACTTTGTTGGGGTTTGTGGCTTTTAAAGGCCTTAGATCATGTAAAAATCATTATCATAGTGGATATATACTCTACTGGGATTGTAGTTGACCAGGATGGTATTTTATAATATGTTAGATGACTAACCTGAGTTGAGCGGTCTAGGCTTGGAATCAAGTTCAAAACCCTTGGCCGTGGGCATATGGCTTAACCATTTAGGGTTTCATAGTAGGTTTATCCCTTGTTGAGGTTGGAGAAATGTCAAGGGATGATGTTTGTAAGCTAGGAGGCTTGTGATCTCCTGCATGCGGTTGGAGGCTTGTTAAGGCAATGGTCAAATCCTCGACAATCATTGTATGGTGTGTACTATGATAGCTCAATTTGGGAAGCAGCCTGGGAAGGTTGTGCATGTGCTGAAGAGAGTATTTTGCACTATCGTGACACTGTGCATTCATTAGATTCGTGTCCCTGCTATTTATTAGCTAGCTTTAATGGGCCAATCATGAGCCCCTACGATTAATTGGGGGTCATGGTTCCTGTTGGGTTGGTTTGAGGTCAAGAATTCTTAGCATAGGTGGAGTTCCTTAGAGATCGCATATTCTTGTCCTATTAGTACCAAATACCATTCCTCTTCTAGAAGGATTTATTTGTGATATAGAAAATTAGGAGATACTAAAAATATTTTTTCCAAATTTTATTTATGGCCTCTGAATTTGTAAATTCAAGTAAAATATTTTTCTGCAATTAGAAATTCATTTTATTTTATAAAATTGTTCTAAGTCCTTATTTTTCTTTTCTAAAATTTTCTGCGTATAAGAAAAAATGTGGGAACGACATGGCAGGCCAATGGCTAGGGCCCACCACGTGAGTAGGCCGCACTTTTGTGTGGGACATGTGCCCCATGTGGGATTCACGCCTCACGCTATCCTACCCCCTTCTCTCCTTATGGGATAAACTTACAAAGAGAGAGAGGATTTTAACAGGGATAAGATATCCTTTCATATAATTTTATTTTTGAAAAGGAAAATAATATTTTGTTTATAAAGGATAACGACTTCTAAAAGAACATTGTTTCAAGAAGATTTAAAGTCCTAATCTTAATGGAACTTGGATTTTATAAATAAACCTAGTTCTAGTGAAACTAGAAGAGGAGAAGGATCAATGATGCAAGGGATAATGGTTCTAGGATTCATGCCTTAATTATGATGGCTGATCTAGAGATTAGATGGCTCAGATTAATTCTCTCTTCATCTCACATATCACCTAGGAATCCTTGGTCAAAGTTTAATCCTCTTAGAAGATGGCTTACCCTGGACCCCAGAAACTAGTATAAATAGAGGGTCATCCACCAATTCCCCATCATCAGTTTTTCTAGCCTCTTTCTCTCTCCTCCCTTTTCCACATGATCTCTCTCTCTCTAGCTCTCTAGGGATTGGATGGCTTGGATTAATTCTCTCTTCACCTCAGATCACCTAGGACTCCTTGGTCAAAGGTCAATCCTATTAGAAGATTGAGAAACTACTAGAAATAGAGGGTCACCCACCAATTTCCCATCGTCTTTTGTAGCCTCTCTCTCTTCTCTCCCTCCATGTGATCTCTCTCTCTAGCTCTCTAGTTGGGTGGCACCGCCCCCCCCCTAGACCGGCCTTGGGTGGCGCACAACACCTAGGCCATTCTTTAGAGGCATGCCCAACCCACAAAAGGGTGTTGCCGCATTGTGGCATACCCCACAATATAGGGTAGAAAAGAGACCCTTAGTGTCAAGAGGGTTGAAAGAAACCTATGTCCATCTTGGTTATGCTCTCAGCGCCAGTTTGCTGAACTCATCCTAAAAATAACCTTGAAAATTACCCTAACTACGTGTACGCCTAGTTTTTGCTCGGACGTCGAAAATCTCAGAAACTGCGGGTAAGAACTATGATCTAAAAGCCAACTTTGTCATCGTTTTGAGAAATCAGGCCCAAAAATGCGTCTAAAGCCTGAAAGTTGGATCTGAAATTGGTTCCATGAAGTCGGACTGCATTAATCCAGCCCTCCCTAATAGAACTTCCGTTAATCAAACGCGGGAGTGCTATTGCTTTCTGGAAGTTTCGGCTTCCAAAGTGGAGAGTTCCAGGAAATGAATGCGCCCTTATTGTTAAATGATGTCATTTCTCTATCATTTAGCAGTAAAAGTTAACCTCAAGTTAAAATTTTATTACTCTGTTCACCTATATTCTGACTAGGGAATGAAGAATGTCATATTTCTTTGTCGAGAGAGGCTATTCTGGCATTTTCACTGGTTTTGCTGCATTGTAGATATCTTAAAAAAGAGTTAAATTTTATTACTCTGTTCACCCATATTCTGACTAGGAATGAAGAATGTCATATATTCTTTTTCGAGAGAGGCCATTCGGGCATTTTCACTTGTTTTGCTGCATTGTAGATATCTCAGCTTTTTTTGCGTTTTATTTTATTTCTGTTAAAAGGAACCATGCTGATTTCTCTTGTCTCCTGAAGCATTGGGTCCAATTTGCTATATCACCGTATTCCTTGGAAAGAACTTGATGCACCCTATATGCTGGATGTGCTCTTCGAAGATTCTGATATGGTAATCATTCCCATTCTTGCTGGTGTATCCATGGAATGAGTATATATCATTTCAAACACATCTTCATATGTTATTTATAATTTGTGGGGAATACATACACTGATTCACTGTCATGAGTGCAAGCTACGTATTATTCTTTTCCCAAACTGTGTTCTATGCCCGTGCTCTTTCTTTATGATACTGTATTACTCAGAGTCCAGGCCTTTCTGTAAAATGAGATGCATATTCTAAAGTGGGTGGATCACCAATAATGCATACATTTTAGGGAAAATATTACCATGTAAATGTGATTTTATGAATTTTACTTCTGACTTTCGTTTTTAAGGCACATTTGCTTTGTCATCTTGATGGTGATTCTTATTGCTTCAGGTTGCTGTAAATAAGCCATCAGGTTTGCAAGTTCTTCCTGGAGGACTTTTCCAACAGAGAACAGTATTATCACAACTTCAATGGCGAACTTATGGACCATATTGTTCCTCACAAACACTTAGGTTAACTTCCTCTTCTCAAGTAACTCATCCCATTCCCGTTCATCGTTTGGGAAGGGGAACATCTGGTATGCATTAGCAGATATGGATTGAATTGCCTATCGATCTTGAGTTCATGATAGAGTTTTTTGTATTATTTTTCAAATGCCAAACTTGTTTCAATTGTGCATATTAAACATGTTTATCTGATTATGAAAAAAAATAAAATAAAAAAATCACTTTGAAACTTAGAGGAAGCATAAATCACCTTTTCCTAAAGCCCTAATTATTTAAAGGACAGTGGAATCTCTTTCTATTTTTTCTGGATTTATAATACTTAAGTATAATATAACCTGTTATTGGTTATTATAAATAGAAAAGACATCCTGTTATTATCTCTCGTTTAAAATTTCAAGAATGATGGAATGCTTTAGTTGATGGAAAAGCAAGAGTCGCATTAACATAAATTGATTTTACTAAAAAACAATGTAATTTCATCAAGTCTGAAGTTAATGAAATCTGTCCCATCCTTTCTTTCTTTTGCTATCTTTTCTCTCTTCCTCTCCTTTTCTGTCTCTACTTGTCACTCCTCTCTCTACTTCGTCTACTTCCCTTCTACTTCTTCTTTTCTCTCTACTTACTCTACTTTCTCTCTGTACTTTTTTCTATCTTTATTTCTATTTTCTCTCTACGTCCTCTCCTTTTCTCTGTACTTCTCCCTTCCTTTGTCTAGTTCTTTACAACTCTATGCTATCATATGCAATGGCTCCACCTTTTTTGTCTTAATGGTATTTTATATATTGTACAGTTCTGGAGAGCACCCGACATGTGGAATGCCACATCCCACCTCTTGGGGGATACTTTTGTAAACATATTATATATTAATATATTGTCATCAGTTTTTGGAAAAAAAACAGAAAGAAAAAGACAAAAAGAACTGCATATGGTTGATGATCGAGGACCAATGTAATTGGACCCCATATGAGCGTACAACCTTTGATAGGCTTGTTTGGAGATGGCTAAAGTGAATTAGGATTAGATTAGGAATACTAGTTGGGTTAGGAATTATGATCGGAATTGGGGTCCTAATCAAGTTGGGTTACCTAATTGCTATATAATTCCTACTTGAGTTGGTATTCGTAATAGAAATAGAAGTCCTAGGAGGTTTGGGAGTACAAACTTCATGGGACAGCAGCCTTTTGGTTGCTTAAAGCTCTCTTGGTTCTAATAGAGATTGGGGAATCCATATTCTACATAGAATAGGACTAAATATGATTATGGAAACAACTAGGCTTTGTTTGAGAGTGTGTTAAAGGATTGGAGTTGCCGGATTAACAGGTCTAGCAAGGATAATAGAAGGGTTTGAAGGGATTGAGGTAATATTTTGGATAATTTAACGTTTGGGGGCGTCGGGGTATGGGAGATGGGTTTGGGAAGAAGGTTGGCTATGTTCCTAGGGCTTAGGAATGGTCAATTTAATGGGGTAGAAGTAGGGGGATTTTGGAAATGGGAGCACCAAAATGCAAGTGGAAAAAAAAGCTCCAACTTGTTGCGGTGACTCTCCCAATCTTGAGCTAAAGTTATAGAATCTGTCCCGTCCACAGAAAGAGTTGAGGAATTTCTCCTCTAAAGACCATAAAAAAGAAGAGAATCAAATACCATAAAAAACAGGAGAGATTTTGGGGAGAATAGAATCTAATCACGCTAATGGATTACCAAACCAAGCAAGGATTTTCCCATCTGTGCTGCTTTGTCCGCCACCTTTACCTTTCCTCAAGTTTCTTCCTCTCTTATCTCCAATATCATAATCCTTTATCTTTTAGCTAAGCTGTAACCTCTTGCCCTCCCCCATCAAGAGGAGGACTCAAGTTTGTCTTCTTCCACGGATAAATATCCCTTCACCCTTTTCTGAGGGCTGGTACTCAATTTTTGCCCCCCCACCTTGCATTTCGGCAGCAACACAATAATCACAAGTTCGTTAACCCACCTAACTATCAGAAAGCTGTCACCTCTAAACTATAATATTAAAAAATCTCAATGGACTACATGGCTCTCTCCGACTTCCTCGATGCAATTTTCTACCAAACTAAGAATGAAATCTTCATCATGTATCTTGTCCGACACGTCAATAGACTTTGGAAACATTGTGCCCATTGAACAATTTACCAACAAATTCATAATGCTCCTATGCCCTTATATAGGTCCATGAGTTAGTCATTTTAGTGACTCCATATCTACCCCTTATGTCTCTGTGAGTCTTGAAATATTCATTCATGAGTTCCACCTCTTTTTTAAGCAAGGGCTGTCTGAGTTGATATTGTGATGGCACTTTATATCGTGGCACATATTGCCCACTGCTTCCATCATGATCTGGAAGCTCTTCAAACTAGTGACATTAAATGAAGTGCCACCTTGATAGACCCATCTTGCAACATATTGATCAACCTTTTCTTTTTGTTCTTTTTTGTACCGGTTTTCAATAGTTGTATGCCCTTTTCGCGAATTTCAACCTCAGGAGTAGGGGTTGGAAAATAAGTATCCATGGGCCCCCGTGCTCTGGGTCTTCTCTGCCCTATATCCAATGGCGTATTAATAGAGCCCCATTCTTGAGCTACTTTATCATCCACGCTATCTCCCCAAATATCTATTGACCTAGGGATTATCTTCGAGGTTTTTTCTTTGCCGCTTCTGTCTTGTTTTTGACCCCTCCTAGATAATTCAACATCTCCTTCCTAACATCTGTAGGGAATTGTATATAGGGGGCCACATCCCCTCTCATACCGGCTAAATGGTTCTTCCGCTTATTAATGCCTCCATTGTATTCCTTCTTACAAAATTCGCACTCCACACAATTTTTATCATTGGGATTAGGGCATGTGCCATATTTCCTCCCCGAATCAGTTTGTTTGCTAGAACTAGAAGAAGACATCTTCACCTAATCAAAACCTGAAAAGTGAAAACAAATTGAAACTTCGTTTAAAATAGAATTAACTTAAAAGAAAAAATTACAAGAACAAAGGAATTGCTAGGGTCAAGGCGGTAGTAGCTGGGTTTTCATAGCATTACGTCTCAAGTTCCATTCCTATGTAATCTTGTCAAAAAAAAAAAAAATACAAGACCAAGAAACCAAACAAGAAAAATTAGAAATAAATAAACAATTTCCATTAAGTTTCACTATTTAAGAGATTTTAATAAGATTGGGCAGCCCAATCTTAGTAAAATGCCACTAAGCACAAAGAAAAACCCACTATGAAGTATGGGCCACAAATCCAGACATTAGCTTCAAAAAAAAAAAAAAATACAAGAACAAGAAACAAAACCAGAAAATTAAATAGAAATAAACAATTTCGAGTTTCAGAGATTTTTTATAAGATTGGTTTATCAAATCTTAGAAAATTGTCACTAACACAAAGAAAAACCCAGTATGGATTATGGGGCACAAATTGTCATGAACTTCAAGAAAAAGAAAAAAACAAGCACACCTTCCACCCCATTCTCTTCCGGCCCTAAAGCATGTACCCGCTCGGTTTTGGACAGTCGAATGCTTGCCAGCTCCTGACCAATACTCGAGGACCCAGCATCCTTCTGCATATTACTTTCTTTAGTCCCTAACCCCCTTTTCCTTTGTTATCCTCTTCTTTATTGTATTCCTTCTGACCCTTTGGGCCTCCCTTCTCCCTATTTCCCTATGCTTTTTGTGCCCGTGTTTAGAGGGTCACATCTTTTTTCTCCTCTTTTTTCGAGCTCTTGCAGTTTCTTATTTTCTCTTCTTCTCCTCCCTATACTCTCCCACCCATCTTGTGGGTGTCGATTGGCCACATCTTATGGATCTATGTTCTTTTTCGTTTATTATAAAAGTTAACTAGTTTAAAAAAAAAAATACAAGAACGAGAAAGCAATCAAGAAAATAAAATAGAAATAATCAAATAAACAATTTCGATTAAGTTTCAGAGATTTTAATAAGATTGGGTTGCCCCATCTCACTAAAATGGCATTAAACACAAACGATAGCCTATTGTGGAAATTGGCCTCACCATTCCAAACATAAATTCAAAATAAAAATACAAGAAAAAATCCAAACAAAACAAAAATATACATTATTGGTTATTTGGTCCTTATTCAATCAAGCATACAAGAACATGCATACATTCCTAAACTTGAAGTTCTTTAACTAATTTACAATGAAAAAAAGCAAAGAAGAATGGGTAGAAAACGACTAAAGCAAATATTCATAAATATCATATAAACTATAAACCAAAAAGTTGAAATATGCGAACCTTTTTTGATACGCACAAGATCTTTGCTTGAATCGATGCCCCATGAGAGCTAAAATTCTTCTATTACAACCAAATCGATCCACAAAAAGTTTGGGATTGATTGCTTTTCGATTTTAGAAGAAATCGAAAATTTTGAGAAAATTTTGAATCTTCAAGAAATACAAAAAAAATCATTTTTGAGGTGTTTTTCTCTCTCTAACGCAATTAAAATATGTTTTGGGGGTTTGCAATGTGCCCCAAAACTTTTTACCCCCTCTTTAGAGGGCGGAAATTACATGTTTTACCCTCCACTAAGGGTTTTTTCTACCAAGCTGAGTGAGGATAAAAGGCGGCGCCTTGGCGCTCGCTTGGTGGCAGCTGCCTAGTTGGCTTATTGGCTGCTTAGTGGGGACTAGTCCCCACCTCCTTGGTAACCTGCCTTTTCCCTAATGTGTGTGGAGATCCCTGTGTCGGACTAATCGGACTACCTTGGAGGCAAGGCCGATGCGTTTTTTTAACATTGACGGACATTTCCTGTCCCTAAGGGGTCATATCACTCTCATCAAGGCCATGCTCTCCAATCTCCCCATCTACTATATGTCTCTCTTCCTTATGCCGAGTGGTGTTTTCCTTTCCTTGGAAAAGATCATGAAATCCTTATGGTCAGGAGACAAGTGTCCTAGGGAGATTCATCTAGTGGCATGGGATCACGTTTGTACCCCTAATAGCCTTGGCGGGCTCGTGACTCAAAACCTCACATGTATGCACCTTGCTCTCCTTGGCAAATGGTGGTGGCGTTGCGCCACAAACCAAGACTCTCTTTGGTGTGTGGG